TTTATTTTTTAATTATTTTTTTAAGTGATATATACTGACCGAGATCGGTCCGTATATAGTTATACGGACCGGGATCGGTCCCTATATTCCATGAACAGTAGCTTTTTTATTTTTTTTTCTAAGTTACATTTGGTGAACTTTAAAATTTTTCATGTATAATATAGTTAAACTTTTACATATTTTAAGTTATTCTTTTAAATAATTATTCTAAGCATATTTTATTTTTTCTAAATGCATTTATTTTGATTGGTAAAATATATTTTTGTGTTGTTTGATAATATCACGTAATTATTAAATAAAATAAATCTGTTTTATTTATTTTTTATTGATTTTTTTTTAATGATATATACGGACCGGGATATATTCGGACCGGGATCGGTCCCTATATTCCATGAATAGTAGCTTTTTTTTTTTCTAGGTTACATTTGGTGAACTTTAAAATTTGGTTTAAGTACCATTTTGGTCCCTCAACTTCTCACTTTGGCACCAAAATTGTCCCTCACCTTTAAAAAGTACCAAAATTATCCTCAGACTTTCATTTTTGGTACCAAAATGGTCCTTCCGTCAGTTAAATGACAGATGGCACGTTAACTTGCCAGCAAATCACTGGATTTTTTTCTTAACTAATGACATGGCACCTTTTTTTATGAGTTGGCATTTTATTTTATTTTATTTAAAAATAATGATTTTTTTTTCATCCATGTCATCTCTTCTTCCTCTTTCACTTTCTCTCTCTTATCGCTTCTTCTTCCTCTCCAAATCAAACCCAGATCTGGGTTTTCCTTAAACTCAGATAACTCCTTCAATACCACTAAAACGCAACAAAAGAGAAACTAAATCACAGTCTAACAATAAAACTTCCATGTCATCTGTTCTTCCTCTTTCACTTTCTCTCTCTCTTGTCCCTTCCTCTTCCTCTCCAAATCAAACCCAGATCTGGGTTTTTCTCAAACCCAAATGACTCCTCTGACACCATTGAAACGCAACAAAGAGAAACTAAATCATAGTCTAAAAAAAAACCTCAAATACATATTCGAATTTCATCAAACCAAGTCAACTCACATGGATGCAAATAAATCAAAAAGAAACAGTACCGAACCACCGGAGACTCGATATGCAGCAAACCAAAACCTAAATGCCGGCGAAATCAACACAGAAACCAGCGAGCACTGGTTTAAAGAGAACCAAAAATTCTAGTTCCAGTTCCATCAAGACAAAGAAAAATAGCAAAATCAGGACCAAAAATCAACTACAAGAGTTTGAAAAAACAGAACAAAAACCATGAGTTCGAAAAAATAGAACATAAACCACAAGAGTTCAAAAAACCAGAACAAAAATGAAGCTTGCATCAGTGGCTAGCTCGTTAGAGGCAAAAGCCCAAGAGATTGTAAACCACAGAGCCAGCTAGATCCTAGAAACCAGCTAGATCCCGACGCATGTTACTGCCGGAGCCGGAGCTGACAGAGCCAGATCTCGACGCGGCCGAGCCTATAGTGAGCCTGCGACGGCGCAAACCAGCCGTTGCTGTTGCAGAGCATGCAGGGGCCATGACGCCAGGCTTCAAGCTCTTCTTCACAACAGTATCCGTCGATTCAAAGGAGAAATGGTGAGTGAGGAAAGAAGCGGAGGTGGATGGAGAAATGCAGTCTCAAGCCCAGATCTGGGTTTGTCTCAAACCCAGATCGGGGCTTGAGACAAACCCAGATCTGGTTTTGAAAAACCCAGATCTCGGTTTGTTTTGATGAAGAAGCAGCAACAGCAGCAGCTAAAACTAATGAGTGGAAGAAAGCATGGAGGCTCACGAAAAAACCAAAGCAATCTCCACTTAATCCATCAATGGGCAAATCTGTGTTTGTTTGTTTTGGAGAGGAAGAAAAACCGATAAGAGAGAGAAAAGAATAAGAAAGAAAATGAAGTTTTTATTTTTTTGTTTTTAGTTTTGAAAAATTATAAAATAATAATAAAAAATATTAAATTTTCTTACATGGAATTTACACGTCATTAAAATTAAAAAAATCCAGTGGTTTGCTGGCAAGTTAACGTGCCATCTGTCATTTAACTGACGGAAGGACCATTTTGGTACCGAAAATGAAAGTATGAGGATACTTTTGGTACTTTTTAAAGGTGAGGGACAATTTTGGTGCCAAAGTGGAAAGTTGAGGGACCAAAATGGTACTTAAACCTTAAAATTTTTCATGTATAATATAGTTAAACTTTTACATATTTTAAATCATTATTCTAAGCATATTTTATTTTTTTATAAATGCATTTATTTTGAATGGTAAAATATATTTTTGCGTTATTTGGTAATATCACGTAATTATTAAATAAAATAAATCTGTTTTATTTATTTTTTATTGATTTTTTTTTAATGATATATACGGACCGATTCCGGTCTGTATATAGTTATTCGGACCGGGATCGGTCCTTATATTCCCTGAACAGTAGCTTTTTTAATTTTTTTTTCTAGGTTACATTTGGTGAATTTTAAAATTTTTCAT